AGAAGAGCAGTACGAGGTAGGGAGGTCAATCAAAGCAATACCGTAGGGTCTTGGCCAACGTTGATAGTGTCAGCGATGACAACGACGGCAAGATATAGTGGTAAATAAATGAAAATGGACAAACGAAGAATACAAACAGACGGTAGCAGAGACGATGGGAGGCTCATTGTGACAGGTTGTTGACAAGGTCAGGAGGTTGCAACAAAGCGGAGAGATCAGGGAAATCATTGGTCGGCATCGTGCTTGCCATTGCGCAGGTGATCTGATTGGCTGGGTAAGGAAAGAACGTCGTATTTTTGATTGGAAAGAGCAATATGGATAAACCTCCTAAAATGGAATTGCCACTACCATGTTGAAGAAGGAGCAACAGACAGGTGCGAACTACAAACAGCATGCAACAATAAGAAGTAGCCCATTTTACATAAACGGCAAGAAGACGAGTGGAAGAGGAAACTGCGACACAGATGCTGGGGAAGTTGAGCCCTTCGCCCCTTCCTTGCATGCATGCATCTGGCACCGTGACATGCTCACCTGATCTTGGGACAGTAAGCGAAGACGAGCCTGCAGCAGTTGGTTAACCGAGTGAAAACGGAAAGAATTGCACATGCGGCGTGAGAAGCCTAAAATGGAAGGAGCGCTGCGCAGTCCAGATGTGGTATGTATCTGTCGTACAGGAAAGTGCATCTTGTGCCCGAGAAAGAAGCCATGAGACGGACGTGCTTTCCGCCTCTTGCAACAATCATATACTATTGCCGAAGGCACACCCAGTGCCCCATTACTGTACGCCGTATGTTCCTGCTCTTTCTACATCAGATATGCCACTTTTTCTGTGCATCTCCGGTTTTCATAGAGGAGTTCTCAACTCCCGTTCTTCCTCCATTTTTCCACGTCTCACATCACAACAATACACTCGCCCCGAGATATTCCCACCCCCCTTTGTCTACATACGAGCTACTTATTCGCCTCTTCTACTTGGTATAGACGGCTTGTTCGCATCTCTCTCTACGCACATAATCGACATGGTGGCTGCTTTTCAAGGTTGTTTACTTTTATTTTGGAACTCAAACACAATTGACGATCCCTTCGTCGGCACTTCTCTTTTTTGTTTTTTGCCGTCAGATCATCTACGCCACACTCGAGTTTAGAGGTTCCTCCAGGTTTGTTACTCCTCACGCCTTTGCCACCACCGTAGCCCCCGGTCATTAAAAGCCGCCAAAACCTGTGATTCCATTGTGTGCCGCAACAGCCTTGCTCGCCCCTATATTGTCATGTCCCCCCGCAAAATGGGCAGATTAACAAATTAAAATGATCACACTTAATTATGTTGACCAAAAACAAACGGCATGTGCAGAAATACAGCTCGCTGCAAGTTGCAGGGCCGGCATCGATATTGAGACCTGCGGGCTAGGAAAGGCAAGTCAACCTCGCTTGGGGAGGGAGCCTGCCACTGCCAAACATATAGACGAGACGTCCAACTAACGAGTAGGGAAAAACAAAACCAGCGAGTGGTAAAAATGACGCAAAGAAAACGGACCTCTCGTGGACCGGTAAAGGAGCAGAAGCAGAAATGTGGACGCCGGAACAAGACAACGAAAATGAGCATGGATGCGACCTAAAATCGAGATAGACAAGAGATCTGGATGCAACACAAACAACCAACAACGGCTACGAGGCTTGTCTTTCCGTGAGCGTACCAGGTAATGTTACTGCGGTAGACCACCTTGAAACCAGGATCTGCGTTTACTGAGTACCACTGACACGCCTTTTCTGTTTGCGTCGCCGCCATGCGTCCGTCTTGCCGGATACGACAGTAGCATACGAGCCCCATTGAGGCGCTGGACTGCCGTGAGTTCGGATGGGCAAGCCCGACAGACAATCATGTGCCAGTTAAGACTCTTAACACGACCATCGATCCCCTGGAGCAAGATCCGGCGGAGCGCTCTGCCGAGCCAAGAGAGCGCAACATGCGGCGTATATTTTGTGTTGGACTGCTTTCTTAAGACACCTTCCCACAGTGTTGTATTGCAAAACACGCCGTCGAAACAGCAAAGTCTGGTTGTTCCCCATTTTTTGTCATTCTGGCTATATTTGATTCGCGACAGGAAACATGGGCCGACGACGTACATATCGGCGCTGGCATACACAACCCTCCGAACAAATAGCAACTACAACAATCGGACCACAACCAGCAAAGAAAAAGCTGTCAAAAACGACAGAAGAAAATGCTTCTGATGCACAAAGAGGGACGAAATGGCCGTCCCGAGAGCCGCGACGGCCGCAGCGGCCTGCCAAAATGGAAACAAAATTACGCCCCACCGTTCGCAGGTGACGGCACAACTGGCTCGTGCTCCCGTTTTTGTGTCCGTCACCGTCCACCCTAATGCCTCACCCCCCAGTTCCCTGTGATCTGTAAGAAGGGTCTTACTTTGAGTCAGCGCGGCTTTGCCACTCGGGGAATTAAAGTTGCAGAAGCCAGGTGCGGGAGGCGCATCTTGAAATTGGGCTGCAGAGAGTGTAAAGTGCACGAGGGCCACAAGGAAAGAAGAAAACGGGAACGCGGTTTGAAGGATTAGAGTGCATTCAGAACCAGAAGCAGGAGCTGCGGATGGCCAGTGCACGACAAAGGGACAAGGGCGGGACGGAAAGCCAAGACATCAGTCGCAATCTGGGCGATAGAGCAATCTACTAGACGAAGACCTGTGATGAACAAAAGCGGGCCATCAACACCTTCCAGGAGGGGGTATACCGAGAGCCACAGCAAGGGAGGGCGGTCTTCTAGATGAACTGCGAGCAAACCAAAAAATAAAATAAAAATAAAAATAAAACGAGTTGCACAGAGACGATGCACAGTGAGTGCCCAAGTAATAAATTGGAAAGCCAAATCTATCGAACAGGGCTGTGAAGGTCCTTATGATAGGGCCATTGCGGGCTACCTCACCTCTCTTAACATGGACGGACAGGTTTATGAAAGACGCCAAGCTGTCTCAAGAAATGGGAAGAACGTGGGATAAGTCGCTACATTATATCAAAACAGCAAAAGCTAGAACCGTATATGTTGAAACAGATTTCTCCAATGATCATCAGCGGGCGAAAGGGCCATGAAACAGGGATGATTGAGGAAAGGAGATAAATAAAACTCTTGGTAATAGACTCAATAAGGCAGCCACCGCAGACAAGCACCATAACACAACACAACAGATACAAAAGACGGTTTGCAAAAAGCATCGAGGCGGCGGGAGAGATGCTCTACGACAACCCCCAGCTGCAGCGGCCGTGGGGCACAAGGAAGATTGCGGGGGATAGGGCGCAATGTATTTGAGAATGTGTGTGGGACAGGGGATGCGTTTACATAGGTGCGTTTTCGACAGTCTTTCCTAATTGGGTAATGTCGCAGGGCGTCCCGCCGAGTAAGCTTTTTACCTATTTGGCATTGGATCTGCCTGACAGCAGACAGGGGTTCGGCTGCTCGTTTTTTAATGTGTGTGTTTGGGGAGTGAATGAAAGCGAGTGGTAATTACTGAGTAGGGGACCGGTTAGATATACACAGGAGGCGTTCGTAAGACGGAGACTTCCTTTGTCGACGAAGACCAAAGGAGTAAGGACAGACGAAAGAGCATAAATGAACCATGCAGAAAAGAGAGCTTGGGAAAAGAATCGGAGTACAAACATTAAACAAAAAGAGGAGTTTCTAGCAAGAAATTTGAGGCAGTAAGCCCATCAAAAGGCCAGGGGGCGTATGTAGCTATGCAATTAGGAAACCCGCATTTGGTTTATGAATTTCCAATATGTTCCTGGACACATTTTATTTACAACAACTTTATTTACAACGACGATAAATACATGCAAAGGACTTGCAAGGTTCAAACATAGTAGCCAAATACAGTCGGGCCATGTTCTACATTAGTAGACTGCCGAGGGCACAGGCACGATATACAGTCCAGCCCGGGTCTCACCTTAAAACACCCTGGATTTACTCTTCAAACCGGGTTTACGACACCAAGAAATCAACAAATACCGCTCGATAATGCCTTTTTCCTTCTTCTGTTGTTTTAGGACCCTCGGCATTGAGTCGTCGTATTGACTTGGCGTCCAACTCTATTCGATTTTGTTGACAAGTCATGATAGTGTGGGCTTCTGGGCTGTGAAATTACCCTTGCAATATATGAATTCTCGAGTCTAGGCCTTACTCGGCGTCCTTGGCTTCTGTTTCTTGTTCTTCAACACCTCCACCACCACCGGCACACCCCTCTCTTTCTTTCGATGTCTCCAATGTTTAAGCTTAAACATCATCAGATAAAGGATGCAACAACAAATGAGAAACCTTGTGAAACCTGGAACTGCCCGGACTACGGACGTATATATTTATTGTTTTATTTACATCCACTCGCCATACTATGCCGCTCCACCTCCTAGGTGTGTCGATGTGACTCCTAATGAGAAAGGTTCCGTTCGTGGTGTCAGCTTGACCATACGTGAAGTGCCGTCTTGCACCTTCTTCTTTGAATCTATCTCCATTCCTTACGGCGCTGTGCAATAAAGATCCGGACTTGCCCCAACGCTCGCACCATAGTGCATCTGGGGGAGGGCTGATCACAATGTGACGTGCACCGAATCTACATTAAATGTACCGTTGCATGCATACGTCTTGGAAATATCATGGTCCTGTCGATGATTTGTTTACGTTTATTTCGTTTCATGTACCATGACCATGTAATCAAAACATGGAACGGAGGATAGGAACAACGAATCACTCGAAGCCAAGGCACGGAAAGCTAAATCACGGATAAGGGTAAGACGGATTTCTCCGCACACTGACACAGGAACGGCAAGCAAGCAGATCGGGTGCTGGAGTCATTTCGTCAAGTGGCAGCTCCGATGCATGTCAGCGTTCTCCGGACAAGAGACTACATCGCCGGAGTCCCCACTTGATCGTATCTTGCCTGTTTGTACGTCTTCTCAGTTTTAGAATGTTAAACGTGCTGCTCCAGACTCACCGTCTTTCATGACCACGAGGCGTCCTCTCGGCTGACAATCGTCTCGTCAATCGTCGCCACCCGTCCAGCCACAATCTCGGCGCCATTGACGAGGTCGTTCTCGTCGGCCCGCGCTGCTGCCGCTTCGGCGTCCGCCGCAAGGCCCGCCGCGATATGCCGCTGGATCAGCCGGGCGCGCGCCACGGCAAAGTCCACATCCACAAACCAGCGCTCGTCCATGTGCTGGGCGTCGGACGCGGTGCGCCAGGGCTCCTTGTCGAGACAGACGTAATTGCCCTCGAAGAGGACGATGCGCTGGCGCGGGCCAATGGCAATGGCGTCGGCGACGGGGTCCTTGATGGCGTGGTCAAACGAGGGGGCCAGGACGGTGGCCACGGACCCGGACGTGTCCGGTTCCTCGATGGGTGCCCGCAGGCGTTCCACCAGCGCCAGAAATGCGGCGCCGTCGAACGTAAATTCGGCACCGCGGCGGGCGTGGGCACGGACGGGGTCGGGCATGGCGGAAAGTTGCGCACGGGTGAGATGGAAGCCGTCCATGGGCACGGCCGTGGCGACCGGCTCGGTTGGCTTCGCCGTACCAACCGGCCCAGAGACCCCAGCCTGCTCCGCGTGCTTCTGGTTGATGGCCGCAGCAACGGCGCGGGCCAAGGATGTTTTCCCTGTGACCAGTGTCAGGAACATCGCGCACGGCAAAGATATCAAGAGGGGCACCGAAACGCACCAGAGCCAGGAATGCCGCCAATGGCAATCACTAAACGACGGCAAAGGTAAAACCTGGTTAGCATTTGCCCAAGTCTACGAGATTATCTCCACCCACCCGCCATGCAAGACCCAAGAATCAAGAGAGACTCACGCACACGCTGGTCAGGCGGCGTCCGGAGGTACCGATCCCAGACCTTGTCCACCAGTCGGCTCACTTGGTCCTCCATGCTGATTGTCGCGTGAGTGTTCTCTCGACGTAGATGGGTGCGATTGATCCCAAAAAAAGAGGCACGTGGGCAATTGGTGCGTGCTTGATCGAGAGTGATGTGTGTAGTAGTAAATGGCGAGGCTGTCGTTGAAGCGCACTTAGTGCGTTTTCTTAGCGCCTGCCCAACCACAGTGGCTTGATCTGCACCTTCCCCATGACAAACTTGGCCAGCCTCACGTCTACAAAGAAAGGGAGGAAGGAGCAAAGTAAACAAACGCCCCAAATATCATGGCTTTGAGACAGCATCTATTCGTACACATATGCGGGCGTCTGTGCGTTGTGCTTGTGTCTGCTGTTATACTCTCAATGCTTTGCACAACCCATCTCCGTCATCGAGGGAGAGGGTATTGCATCGGCAAGCACATCGATTCCAGGCAAATGTCAGCATATGCATATTTCAAAAAGGGCAGTTCAGTCAAGATTGCAGATGAAATGTGAATGTGCCATCTGGCTGCCTCTTATCCCGATTACCGCATATCGTATGCCACTCAGTGCCGTATCGCGAATGCGGCATTATCCCACAACGGCAAGATATCACCGAGTCTGTCCTTGACGACACCTGCCATCAGCCCAACAGTTGCGCGCTTTCGGGCGATGAAAAGTCCCTTCCGTCCGCAAAATCTCACAGTCTTCAAATTTTAAGCTGGTGTCAACGTTGCAATGCCCTCAGCGCTTCCATATCTCCATTGTCCCATTACCATTGGCGGACGACTATTCCAGCTGCTTCATTGCAAATGTCCTACATTATAATCTCAAAGAAACAAATTCATATCCACTCGCACAACAGGATCCTTTTTAAACTCAAAACGTCCACAGAAAAACCGTGGCCGCATAGACGTTTCCACGTTTCCAGTCAGAAATATGTCGCATGTCGTCCAGAGTCTAACGTAACTTACTTACTGTGGGGGCTCTAGTGGGTATTATGGGCCGCGGACTTGGGGGAAAGAGGCGAGGCGTCTCCATTTTTATTTTGGTCGCAGCCGTGTTAGCAGGTGGTCTCCTGTCACCTGGCGGCGCGGCAAACGCCTTCCTACCTCGGCTCAATGGAAGGCCGGATCCATCCATCTTCTTTGCCCACGGCCGACACATTGAGTGGCATCTACCTCGCACCCTCCTGCTCATTATGGATTGCGGTGCCGATGGCTGTTTCCTCTGTTTTCTCTTGTAGTGTTCTTTGCGCGCCACCGCTCCTACAGAAAGTTGATGCATTGTTCGCTCCTGCCCTGAAGCCGACCCGGTGGTCAATTCGCGCGCTGACGAAAGGGAAGGCGCGATCGACGCGAAATTCGGCTGCCCTTTTTGTACTGTTGGCGGTCCATTTGCATTTTCGCATTTCAACGTACGACGCATTGTGGCTGCTGGTCGTTCGTTTCGTTGCTATGCGATTGGGGAACTTGCATTTTTTGTATTCCACAGCTCGTCCACAGCTCGGTCAGCACGTTTGTTGCACCTGTCGGCACATGGAAAAGCCACAATTCCCCAGCTCGGTGATTTTTTGGTGGGGAGTGGGGAGAGTCGCCCCCTATGAGGTAAGAACCGCCCGTGTCGCTGGCGCTGTTCCTTCCCTGCGTGACTTCCCTTTCACGCGCTCGACTGGGCAGGACCTGCCCGCACGCAAGACACTTGCTCTTTCCCGAAAAGCACCTCGGCGATCCCCCCATCGGACGACTCCGCTACACAACCCACCCTCCACAGGCACGAAAGAAGAAAGAACCAAGGGCCAAACTCCAAAACCTCCAAGCAACGAACCCCAGGTCCCCCGTCTTGACAGCAAGAACCAAATTAAACTCATTAGGCTCGCTCTTTCCCATCCCGAGATTGCCACAAAGAAAAAAACAAAACCCAGCACGCATCGCGTCACAGGGCCTTCTTTCCACTTCCTTTCTTCCTCTCTTCCTCTTCGTTTCTGCCCCTTTCACAAGCCAAACGTCACCCGCCGCTCATCCCCGTCTCCTACAACTTGTTTGGGATGTTTGCAGCAGTCGCACGAGCTGAGGCAAGGTCGTCTGTGCTAAGAAGTACAAGCACCAGCACCAGCAGTTACTTGAGGACGCAGCTTGTGAGTTTCTGCTTTCTTCATTCTTTGGATGCTTCTGGCTAAAGAGCGCATGTGACGACTTGCACCCGCTGTTGTGCGCACCAAGCTCAAAAGCCCGTGGTCCTGCAATCTGGCCTGCGCTAACGTTTCTCTCTACAGACCGGATTCACAATGGCCCCCGCCAAGAGAAACAACAGCACCAAGAAGGCGCTGCCCAAGGGTGCGTTTTGAGTTTTGGCAGCCAGTCTTGTGATCCTCGTTTGAGGAGAGACTCGGCCGGCTTCCGGCCCAAGTTGTGATGGGTTTTGCCGGTGTCCGTACTAACTCCCGCCCAGGCTATGTCGAGGACACGTCCAAGGGCCCCATGCTGCGCTTCCAGGAGTCCCTGCCGCGCCTGCCTGTCCCCACCCTCGAGCAGACCGCAGCCCGCTATGTCAAGTCTCTCAAGGCCCTCTACCCGGCCGAGGACGTCGCCAAGAGCGAGGCCGCCGTCCAGGAGTTCATCCGCCCCGGCGGTGTCGGCCAGCGCCTGCAGGAGAAGCTGCTTGCGCGCCGCGCGGACCCCAAGACCAAGAACTGGCTGTACGAGTGGTGGAACGACGCCGCCTACCTGGCCTACCGTGACCCCGTCGTTCCCTACGTCTCCTACTTTTACTCCCACCGCGACGACCGCCGCCGCCGCGACCCCTCGAAGCGCGCTGCCGCCATCACCACTGCCGCCCTCGCGTTCAAGAAGATGGTCGACCAGGGCACCCTGGAGCCCGAGTACATGAAGGGCGTCCCCATCTGCATGGACAGCTACAAGTGGATGTTCAACTGCGGCCGCATCCCTGCCCACCCCAAGGACCACGCCGAAAAGCACAACCCGGCCAACCACAAGCACATTGTCGTTGTCCGCAACAACCGCTTCTACAAGGTCCTCCACGAGGTGGACGGCCGCCAGCTCAACACAAGCGAGCTCGAGGCCCAGTTCCGCCGCGTCTACGAGCTGTCCGCCGCCGCCGCCAACGCTGCCTCGGAGCCCGCTGCCCCGGTCGGCTTCCTGACCACCGAGAACCGCGATGTCTGGGCCGATGCCCGCAAGGCCCTCGCCGCATCCTCCCCCGTCAACGCCGAGTCCCTGGCTGCTATTGACTCGGCCTCGTTCCTGGTCTGCCTCGACGAGGCCGCCCCCGTCACCTTTGAGGAGCGCGCCCACCAGTACTGGCACGGCAACGGCTCGAACCGTTGGTTCGACAAGCCCCTGCAGTTCATTGTCTGCGACAACGGCACCTCGGGCTTCATGGGCGAGCACAGCATGATGGACGGCACCCCCACCCACCGCCTCAACGACTGGGTCAACGACGCCATCTTCAAGAACAAGCTCGACTTTGACAACCCGAGCGTCCGCGCCAACCTGCCCGAGCCCACCCCTGTCGAGTTCAAGGTCAACGCGGAGCTTGCCAAGACCGTCGCCGCCGCCGGCGAGCACTTCCGCGACATCATCGGCCGCCACGAGCTGGCCGTCCAGTCCTACCAGGGCTATGGCAAGGGCCTCATCAAGAAGTTCAAGGTCTCGCCCGACGCCTACGTCCAGATGGTCATCCAGCTGGCCTACTTCAAGATGTACGGCCTGAACCGCCCTACCTACGAGTCTGCCGCCACGCGCTTCTTCCAGCTCGGCCGCACCGAGACCTGCCGTTCTGTTTCGGAGGCCTCCGTCGCCTTCTGCAAGGCCATGGGCGACGACAGCGCCGACGCTGCCACCAAGGAGAAGCTGTTCCGCGAGGCAGCTGCCTCCCACATCGAGTACATCTCGGCCGCTCTCGATGGCTACGGCGTCGACCGTCACCTGTTCGGTCTGCGCAAGCTGCTCGACCCCAACGAGCCCGTCCCCGCCATCTACGCCGACCCGGCCTTTGCCTACTCGAGCAAGTGGTTCCTGTCCACGAGCCAGCTGAGCTCCGAGTACTTCAACGGCTACGGCTGGTCCCAGGTCGTCGACGAGGGCTTCGGCATTGCCTACATGATCAACGAAAACAGCCTCAACTTCAACATTGTCTCCAAGGGCCTCGGCAGCGACCGCATGAGCTTCTACCTCAACGAGGCCGCCAACGACATCCGTGACCTGCTGACGCCCTCGCTCGAGACCAAGGCCAAGCTGTAAAACGGCGGGCGGACCAGTCAAATTATAATAAGACGAAAAAAGACAAGTACAGAATCGCTACCAGCGACGAATGAGAGTGATAGATGGTGTAGAGATGCTGATGTTTGGTCTCTTTTTATCATGGAAAAAGCAAATGTTGCGACTTGTTTCGGATAAAAAAGGGTTTCCTTTATTTTGTACATATGGCTTGGATAGATTGTTTTGAAAATTCAATTTAGTTGCACGTAATGTCTTGTTACACGATTGGGTTTTTTTTTTAAAAAAAAAAAAATAAAACACATTTGAAAAAATACATAAATATCGAAAATAATGAAACATAATAAACAGATAATATTCCAGTAGTAGGAATTCCAGAAGTACATCCAAGAGTAGTCACAGTAAAATGTGAATTTAATACGAATTGCTCAAACGAAAAAAGCGAAGTTACGGGACGGCAAATAATAGGACATAAAAGAAAATGATAACTAGTTGTGACAGATATATAAAACGCCAATGTCTCTCCCGCCTAAGATACAAGACTCCCCGACGAGAATAAGAGCTTCCAATGCTCTACCATTCTTTTGCTGTAAGATTTTTGTTGTTTTTGGGTTTGACATTCTTCCTTCCCAGCGCAAAGCAAAAAAAAAAAACAATAAGAAAGAGAAATAGAACCAATAGTACGATAACAGAGCAATTGTCCCATGGCACCCTGACAACAAAAGAGTAAGATACAAGCCACACATAGTAAAAAGAACAACAGGGAAAGGTAAAAATAAAAAAAAAAATACAGACAAGACACTCCCTGTCGGCCCCCCCCACTCCTCGGACTCCTCACGGTTCGGTCCCCGACCCCCATGGCTTGGATTGGCCTCTCCAAATCATCTCCGCGCGTACAACGGCATTACGCCCTGTCTGCGGACGCCCGACTCGGGACGTCGCATCGATCGTTTCGCCACACACAACCCAGACGCGTTACAGCTCCAGACTCCGTGCCGCACCGGGCGTGGCGCTCAGGGGCTGCACACCACCGGCCGGCGTGGCCGGCGGGAAAGCCAGGCGCGGGCCGTCGACGAGGGCGTCCTGGGCCAAGCGCAGGCCCTGGTCGCCGCCGGTGGCGGCGGCGGTCTTGAGGTTTTCCTGGACCTCGCGCACGCGGCGCTTGAACGACAGGCGGTCGAGGAACAGCTGCTGGCGCGCGCGCTCGAGCTCGCGGCGCTCGGCCTGCAGGACGGCCTCCATCTCGTTGAAGTACTTGAGCTTGAGCTCCATCTTCTGCAGGGTGACGTTGACGGCGGCCGACACGAGGCGGGTCATCTCGCGCTCCTCGTGGGACGCCAGGCCGCCCGACCGCGCGCCAATGGACGCCAGCGGCAGGTTGGCCAGGTTCTGCTGTGCGCTGCTCAACGTCGTCGTGGTTGTGGTGGTCGTCGTGGTGGTCGTCTTGGTCGTCAGGGACACGTCGGTCGACCGCGTGCCGTCCACATCCATGGCATCATCGTCGTTGCGGCCGTCCGTACCGGCCGTGGCCGCCTTGTCCTTGCTGTCCTTGTCCTTGTCGTCCGATGCCGCCTCCTCGCCGCCAGCTTCCAGTTTCTTCTGCAGGCCGCGCTTCAGCTCGTCCAGCGACTTGTTGGCCGCCGCCGCCGTGCTGGCCGGGTCCGCCAGGCTGGCCAGGAAACCAATCACCGACATGACAGGGTTGTCGGCCTGGTTGAAGGGCAGACGGCCGCCGCCGCCGCCCAGGATCGACAGGCCCACGGGGGCCTGCTCCGTGACCTCGGAGTCCAGGTACTTGGACTCAATGTCCAGCTGCAGGAACTGCAAAACACACTCCTCGCGCGTGCGCGTGCCCACGTGGTCGGCCACTTGGCCCCAGTCGTCGTCGAAGCGCTCAATGGCCTCGAGCAGGCGCACCAGCTCGGCATCGCTCCAGGGCGCGTCGCGGTCGAGGACAGACGAGTACGTGGGGTTCTCCATGCGCAGATACTGCGCGCTGGTCTGGTTGCCCGCCATGCGGCCTTCGAGGTAGCAGCTGGGGCACAGGTCGTACTGGGCGCGCGGGTTGCCCTCGGCCTGGGGGTTGTGGTAGTAGATGCGGGTGCAGTCGATGCCGCACAGGTGGCAGTTGACCTTGACACTCGGCTTCTTGGTCAGCTCTTCGGCGGCGGCAGCAGCAGCGGATGCCGATGATGCGCCCGGTGCGGGGGTGCCGTTCTGTGTGCCGTTCGTCGTTGCACCGGCAGCGTGCGGTGCCTCCCCGTTCGTCTTGGCCTCCGTCTTGGCTGCCGCAGACGCGGCGGCGGCAGTGCCGCTGGCACCGGAGACCTTGGCGCCGCGCGCGTTGGCCTCGTAGATGTTGCGGCCGACCTCGAGGTTCAGCTCCGACTTGGGCGCAACGCCCGTGGCGGCGCGTGCGTCGGTGTCGCCGTGCTTCTTGCCGCCGACGATGACGGGATCGGCAGCAGGCTGCCATGGCTGCAGACCGCGCGGCGTGTCGGCAATGATCTTGAAGTGGCCGGTGAAGGGAGGGCCGACATGGGACGGGCGCTGCTCGTAGTCGACCTGGTAGTTGATGAGGCCCCACTGCTCGAGGAAGGCGTGCACGCGCATGATGGCGCAGACGTCGCCTGCCAGGTTGCGACGGCAGGCGGTGACGGTCAGGTACTCGACGGGGTTGAGGCGGTAGGTGTTGATCATGAAATCGCGGTAGTCCTTGTAGACGTGCGGGGTCTTGCTGCGGTTGCGGCTGTTGAAGAACTCGGGCAGGGCTTTCCGCTCAATGTTGTGAATCTTGTTCATGTCGAACCAGGTGCTGTAGCTGGGGAGGATGATGGCGTGCGTCTGCGTAATGAGGTGCTCGCGCGCAGCGTTCTCGACCGTCTCCTTGGACTTGGTGGTGCTGGCAGCGCCGTCCTCGCCCTCGGCAGCAGCGCCCTCGGCAGCGCCGTCCGCCTCGCCCGACGCCTCGCCCGTTGCCTCCGCCGCACCCTCGCCAGCTGCCGCTGCCGGTGTGCCGTTGTCGCCGGCCGTCACATCAACCTTGGTGTCTTCAGCCGCGTCGCCCGACGCTTGTGCTGCTGTCGCGTCTGCCGAGCCGCCGTTGGCTGCGTCGCCCATTTCCTCGTCCTCGGCGCCGCCCGTCGCGGCTGCTGGTGCCTCGGACGCATTGAGTGCGCTGTCGGAAAGGCCTGCTACGGCGGGTGTGGCGCTGTCCTCCTTGATGGCTGGTTCTGTTGTGCTGGGTGCATCTTGTGTGTCCGCGGCATCCCCGTCGCCCATGTGAACATCTAAAGAGAGGAAACCCGTATGTTAGCATTCGTTCCTGGGTTCAATCGACCGCTAATCAACGCGCCATTCCGCGTCTTCTGTCATTCACAATGTTAAAGTAGTCCTCTCACACGTCGTACCTTCGGGGGCAGTTGTCGATGGCTCGTCTGCGGGTGGTGCCGCGACAGGCGGGTTGCTGGATGGTGTTCCGGCGTTGGCAGGGCTGCCGAAGTTGACGGTATCCTCATCCATTGTGGCGTGTGTGATGAAAGTGATTGTGATGAAAGAAAAAGGGGTGCTCTGAGGTCAATTCCAGACGGCCGTGAAGAGCCGTGATGAGATGCGCGGATGCGAGTCGGAGGAAACGAGTCGCGCGTCAATCGAAAGGTCACAATGGAGCGCGATGGTCGACGTGATGCGTAAGCCCAGGGGGAGTGTTGGGCAGTTGGAAAATGAAAAAAAAAAAGATGGTCGAAAACAAGGCGAAAAAAGCCAACAGACCAACAGCTGCGTAAACGTCGGCGAGTTGGACCGATCAGCAACAACGACAAAAAATAGCACAAAAAGGACAGAGGCTGGTTCCGCCGAGTTGCTAGCGTGGGCAGTCTCTGGGGTCGTTGCGAGACGCGATGATGCTCCACGAGAATCGATGGGGGTTCGTGATCGCGGTGGTCGATTCGCCCTTTGAAATTCGCGCCTGGAAATTTGGTGGTGGATTTGCGAAAGAGTTCCAAGGGGTGGACGCTGCTGCCAAATGGGGATTATGATTTGATTGCTGGGGGGTGTCGCGTTTGGGGCAGGAGCAGAAAAACTGGCAAGCTAGGAAGGCGCGCGGCAGCTGTTTCTGCCTGGGTGCCTGAGGCATGTTGAAGGAAGGCACTCTTATTACCTAAGCGGAATCATCACATGACACAGCACGCGCTGGTGTTCGCGTGAGTCTCCGAAAAACGGGGCACTCAGTCTCTCAACCTCGGGCCGCTTCCAGCCGGCAAGACAGTGGCGCCTGCCCCTCCACGCCTACAGCTTGTTCTCCGCTGGGGCAGGTGCTCACACTCTCGCTCATAGCCGTCGTCGGATTTTCGAGCCCGCGTTTTTGGAGCCGCTTTTCCTCACCTCGCGATCCATCCCCACGCAGGCCAATTGGACTCTGCAACGCACGCCTCTTTCTTTTCACCGGATTCTCAGGCTCCCTGCCGTTTCCTCGACCGTCGTCCCTTTCCCAACAAGCCCTCCACCGGCCACCCGCCACCACCACAATGCTGTCTACTGTCCGGAGGGCCGTCGCTGGCCCGGCTCGGCAACAACTGCAAAGCGCCAGCCTCGCCCGTCTGCTGTCGTCTCTCGCCATCCTCGAGCAGCGCAACGGCCAGCTGAACAGCGGCTCGCTGAGCGCGGTCACGGCGGCCAAGAAGCTGGGCGGCTCCGTGCACGCCTTTGTGGCTGGCAGCGGCGTCAAGGCGGTCGCCGACGAGGTGGCCAAGATCGACGGCCTCGAGAAGGTCGTCGTTGTCGACAGCGCCGCCTACGACAAGGGCCTGCCCGAGAACTACGCGCCGCTGTTGGCCGAGAACATCAAGAAGGGCGGCTACACGCACGTGCTGGCGGGCCACACGGCCTTTGGCAAGAACCTGATCCCCCGCGTCGCCGCCCTGCTCGACGTCCAGCCCGTGTCCGACGTCACCAGCGTCGAGAGCGACTCGACGTTTGTCCGCCCCATCTACGCCGGCAACGCCATTGCCACCGTCGAGTCGACCGACCCCATCAAGCTCCTGACCATCCGCGGCACCGCCTTCCCGGCCTCCGAGGCCACGGCCGGCAGCGGCAGCGCCGCCGTCGAGGAGGGCGTCGACCCCAAGGCCGAGGCCCCGACCGAGTGGCTCTCCGAGGACCTGGCCACGTCCGACCGCCCCGACCTGGCGACCGCCGGCAAAATTGTGTCGGGTGGCCGCGGCCTCAAGTCCAAGGAGGAGTTTGACAAGATCATGCTGCCGCTGGCCGACGCGATCGGCGCCGCTGTGGGTGCGTCGCGCGCGGCCGTCGACAGCGGCTACGCCGACAACAGCCTGCAGGTCGGCCAGACCGGCAAAGTGGTGGCGCCGCAGCTGTACATGGCGGTCGGCATCTCGGGTGCGATCCAGCATCTGGCGGGCATGAAGGACAGCAAAGTCATTGCGGCCATCAACAAGGATGCCGAGGCACCCATCTTCCAGGTGGCCGATGTTGGCCTGGTGGGCGACCTGTTCGAGAAGGTGCCCGAGCTGACCGAGAAGCTCAAGTCATAAGCGGTTGACGGGGACCATGGCGACGAAAGATGCTTGAACGGACGACAGCAAAACCAAAAGGAAGGAATCAAAACGATGGGAATACTGGTTTTGGACAGCATGGCGGTAATTTCATAAACTATATTAGACGTGTAGCAACATTATATCTGGAGGGCTCTCGGAGAATTGACTTTTGCGTTTGTATTCAGCTACTTCTGCTCGTAAAGGCGTAGGTTCATGTCTATCGTACAAGTGTGTTCCCGCCGCGTTTCAACCCAGCACGGCCAGCATGTCGGCAGTCTGTGTGAGCTTGCTGCGTGGCTTGCCCAGCTCCTTGCCCCTGCCCAGCTCGACCTGGTCAATCTTCTGCCAGTCGGCCCAGGACACGACCTTGGCCCCTGTCGTGTCGACCTCGGCTTTGACTCCGTCCCAGCCGCCGCCCTCCACGCCGCCAGCAAGGAACGGCGCCCGTGCCTCCCAGTCCTTGACGATGGCGTCCGCCGTCGTGAACGCATCGTCCATGGTCGATGCGATAACACCGGTCGGCCCACGTTTCACCCAGCCTGCGCAGTAGAAGCCCGGGTACGGCTCCGTCGTCATGCTGGCATCCTGTGAGCGCACGTCACGCAGCACGCGCCCGAGGCCGTCGTTCAGAATCATGCCGCGCCGCTCGTCAAAGGGAATGCCCAGGTCCTCAAACCCGGCCAGCGGCTGCGACCGATAGCCAATGGACCGGAAGACGAGCTGGGTCGGCACGTTCACAAGCTCGCCCGTGTGTTCCGGCTGGGCATTGGCATCAAAGGGTGCTGCCAGGTGTGTCTTTTCAAATGCTGCCGTCGCGACGCGGCCATGCTCACCCCCGTTGGCGGCGGTAAAGTGCTTCGGTGCCATGCAGAAATCGAGCGACCACGACTTATTGGCCTGGTCGAGCGGCGTGGCTGCGCCCTTGGCCACGACCTCCATCAGCCTGCGCTGGGCTCGCGGCAGGTCCGTGAGCTTGGGCGGCAGCAGCGTCGAGGTATCCCAGGGGTGCAGCCCCACGCCGGGCAGCTTCATGAGCTCGCGCACCTCCTTGATCGTAAACGCCGCCTGCATGGGGCCGCGGCGTCCGACAACGTGCACACGCTTGATGCGGCTGCGAGCCAGCGCCTCGAGTGCCGCCTCGCTCATGTCCGTCGTGCGCAGCACGTCGACGTGCTCCAGCAGCATCCGGGCCACGTCCAGCGCCACGTTGCCCTGGCCAACGACCACTGCTGTGTCCGTGTCGGCACGTACTAGGTCGGCCACGATGCTGCTGCCCAGAGCGTCCGAGCCGCTCGGCAGCCCGTTGTACCAGCCCACAAAGTCACGCGCCGCATACACGCCGCGCAGGTCCTCGCCGGGCACGCCCAGCTTGCGGTCGCGCGAGGCGCCGTAGGCAAAGACGATGGCATCGTAGTGGCGGGCGAGGGTTGCGAGTGGTACATGGCCGCCGTCGGGGTTGTGGCTGCTGATGCTGTTGGTCGCGGCAGACCCGTCGCCCACGGCCAGGTTGCCCAGAAACCGGAAATCGGGCGACTGGGCCACCCCCTCAAACTTGTCCTGGCAGTTCTTGACCTCTGGGTGGTCCGGCGCCACGCCGAAGCGCACGAGGCCAAACGGCACGGGCAGCGCCTCGTACATGTCGACACGGGCGGCTGTCTTGGCCATGACGCGGTAGGTCGTGTAGAAGCCGGCGGGACCCGAGCCGATCACGGCCATGCGCAGCGGCCGACGGCCAGAGCTGTCCGAGACATGTCGGGCCTGGTATGGGCTCTGGTTCTGGCTCTGAAGCTTGCCGCGCACGTTCCGGGCAGCCGATCCAAACAGTCGCGGCGATCGCAATCGCGCGCCGCAAGTCGCTATAACGGGCTGCATAGCGACAGTGGCATGTCGCAGCAAGGGATGCAGCCGGTTTTGTCAAGGCACGGCCGGTATTTGTGTCGGTAGAGTTCTTGTCAAGACAAATCCAAAGACATTCACCATGTCGAGAGTTTCGATTGCCGCTCGTTCTATTGGACTAACGAAAACCGGGGACATTCAGTTGCCGTCACTCGTTCATAACTCCGCTGAACGGAGCTTTGAGTCACGCTGGCATTGTCGCTGGACGTATCCCCGTAGATACGACGACAAACGTCTGCCCTTCGGATTTGCTGACAACGAACAGAAAATGAAGTTTTTTAATTGGACAATTGCATCGCGAAGGGCATGGTATTGCCGAATTGAAGTAGCCGCGCAGAGACGCGTTTGTACTATGTACTTCATCGCGATTGGCTCTTTTGCCTTGTGCGGGCTGTAATTCGTAGTTGCAGGGCAGAAAAGCGCCGCCTCATGCATCACCTTACTCATGTCTTGAAAATCCTCGAATCGGCCAAACTTGATGCGATTTTCCAGATGCTCGTTTAATGTCTCGGTAAGGAATGCTGCTGCGGTGGCACTTTCCCAAGTTTCGCCAAGCTCGTGTCCTTCCAAATACGACATTGTCCTGTCCCAAGTCGCACCTGCCTTGCAAGAGCCCCAAATTCCAGCAGCGCTGTTGCTGTGGCAACAGCGTCCCTTCCTTTCTCACCACACCGCACAGACAGCTCTTGCCTCCAACATGCAGATTGGGCCTGGAAGCGCTGTGGTTTGCGCCTGCCTCGCACGAAAAGGCATAATTTCATGCGAGGAATACGAACAGGAAGGCACGCCCGGCCTGCTATTACCTCACCATCGCCCCCTCTCTCATATTGCTCCTGTCGTTTTGCATCCCGTCTCCTGTCGCAATCAAAACCCTTCCTCCAACAACCAAGACAGACGGATATTGACTCAACTTTTACCGGCGCATTCCAACGACGACATTGCTGGGAACTGCTACTCAACGTGAGATCGTCTGTGACGGCACTCATGTTTTGACAGGAAAAAGCAATTAACCGAAAGACAGAACGACAGGAGCCGAGACAATCAACAGATCAAATTATTCGAAAGAAATCGACAAATCGCCGAAACGCACATCTTCGCACACGGATGATCGCCATCTCGACATCCCAGGAACGCAAACTAGATTCACTTGAGAAAGGGCAGCCGTCAATCTAGCCGAAGTCCCGCACGGGTCACAGGCACCGTCTATCCTCTGGAACGCAACGCAGCAAGACAACAGCAACGGACACACTGGAAAGGACTGGGCTCGATCTCGTTCTCGCTTGTCGACTGTCACCATGGGGGGCCATCAGCCGTTTCTTTATGACGCCGAGCACAGCTCGTCGAGCTTGCCTGAGAAGCCGTTTGATCCCAAGGCCGTCACGCGTGCTAGCTGGCAGGCCAAACCCGTCAAGCCCAAGCAAGAGGGACCATTGGTGCAGCTCAACCGGCATCCTGAGTACGTCTTTTGTTTGTTTGGCTTCTTTCTTTTCGATGTCTGATTCTTCACTCTTTCACTGCTTTTTTTTTCCGTCGCCCTTACATTCGTTTTTCTTTTGTCATTTGATCCTGCCATTCAATTCCCAATTGCTGACCTCTCTCAAGCGCTCATGAAGTTATCGGCGGACAGCGCAAGCCCGTCAAGACCATGAGCAGCACCACCAAGGCCTGGATCAAGGCCATCCGCGTCGTTCAGCTGCTCATACGTGCGCTCCAGTTCCTCGGCGCAACGGCTATCCTGGTTCTCGTCATTCTCATTACGGGCGTGCCCGGTATCACGACCTGGGTTCTGCGCATCACGGTATGTTGATACAGCTCCGTTGCTTGGGTCGTACACTTGCTAACAGACCAGGCTGGATTTGTCATTGCTCACAGCGCCTATGGCGTCTACCACCACTCCAAGCCCGCTGGCTACCGGACGCCAGCATCTTCGGGCGCCTACCAGGTCTTTGCTGCTTTCTCCGATCTCTCAGTTCTTCCCCTGTACGCATACGGCGCCATGTCTGCCAAGAACAACAGTGCCGGGTGGACGACGCTGCTCACGGACCAGACTTATGTGCCGTACCTAGTCACATCGTTTTACTACACTTTGATTGGTTCCGGTGGCCTGCATGGCTTGTCGCTGGTCGTCTCCTTCTGGCTTGCGCTCAAGTTCCGCCAGATTGCTCAAATGCCGCCCGATATGAACCCGCTCGAGGACCGTTACACCACGCGGTCGAAGAAGCGCCAGCAAAAGCAGCTCAAGGATATGCAGAAGCAGCAGCATGCACGGAACAAGTCCTCGATTGCCACAGCTGACACGTTTGAGTCGCTGTCCAGCCTTGACAATGACAAGGGCTTGCTCAGCCGTCCGCCGTCGGTTCCATTCCTGCACACGCGGACAGGCTCCCAGGCCACCATCTCGTCTAGCGATCCCCGTCTCACTCTTCCCAGCCAGAACAGCCCTTCATCGAACTCGGCACGCAGCTCTCTGGCTAACCTGAAGCGCTCGTCGATGGTGAACACACCGAACAGCGGACGTGGCTCTTACGCCGAGGTCCCGCTCAACGACGGTGGCTACGCCAACTCGCCCAGCTCTCGCCTTAGCTACCACAGTGGGCGGCCCAGCAGCCGCCCCCAATCTGGCACGCCCAACAGCTCCAACTCCCCGGCCGGTCTTGGCATCACTGACGGCGCCAACGGTGGCGGCCGCCCTGGCAAGTTTACTGAGACGTGGCAAGCGACGGATTCCATGGTCAACCGCACCCAGCAGCGCAACGCGGCTCTTAACACTATGGTCCTCAACGCCTCGGGCAGGCGGCGGAACTATGAGGTCGTCAGCCAGGCATACGATTTCCACGACTCGGAGGGAGAGGTGTCGGATACGGATACCGTGCACCGCCATGACATTGACGACGACGACGACGAGAACGCCCCGTACAATCACTACAGCTACGATGACGGCGGCGATTCCAACCGCCCGAATCCCCTCCGTTCGAACCCGACGCTCCCGCGCACGAAGACTCCGTTCCGCCAGGAACGTCCTGCATCTACCGTCCCATCAATGACCTCGTCCGTCCACACCAGCACCACGTACAATGGAAACGTACTTGGCGAGGTGCCTATTAACGACCGTCGTGTGAGCGGTGGCTACACGGTCGATATTGCCGACGCAATGAAGTCCAGTATCGCCAAGGATGGCAACAGTAGCCCCACAAAGGACATTGGACGTGGCCTTACAAAGGGCAAGCTCTCGCCACAGGAGACGCAGCAAAAGTCTGACTCGAAGGTGTCTCGTACGCCAACGAAACGCTGGACCTGGGCTCCTCGGAGTCGTCAGAGCAGCGTGCAGAAGGAGGACGACTTCTACAGCAAGCCGTACGGTCAGCTGAAGTCGGCCACGCCGCCTATTATGGTAGGCGAGGACTTGGCGGCTGGCAGTCCGAGCGGAACGCGGCAGGTCTCGAGTGGCAACGACTACGATCTGGGCAGTGACCGTTACCTGTACTACGGCGACAACAACGCTGGCGTGGCCAACACCTTTAGCCGGCGGAACGTGAGCGGCAAGATTGCCGAAGAAGGCAGGGCCTTCAATCGGTACAGCACCTACAACAACTGAGTTGGGGACTATCGGTACATACAACTGATCTCTTCCGCCTCTTTCACTAATAATCCATTCATACGACAATGCGGTGATGATATCCGATGTGTCTCGGTATTCCGGTATTTCTGGTGCTTATTTGGACGATGGTCTGGGGAAGAGGCAAAGAGTCAAATTGGGTCGGCCTCCGACATAACGAAGGGAACTCTCCTATGGAAATGGGTTTCGGCGGCTGTTGGAAGATATCATCGCACATGTCAAACGGCGTTATTTGGGTTTGCAATATTTCTTGTTTGATGTATCTCATATTTTGCGGTCCAATACATGGACTCGCTCTCTTAGGTAGAATAATACCACTTTGTAGCCAAGTACTCCTTTTTGATTTTCGTTTCCAATACGTCCCAGTGGTGTCATACTGTCGTGGTTGTGCACGTCTCAAAATATTCCAAAAATCGAATGGTAAACGACTTGCTCTAATGCTTGCTAAATGAAACAATCCCAGCCTGCCAGTCTGATCATGTCTTGGCAACTCGCCTTCTCTTCCTAAGAAAGCGACCCCATTCGGTATTGTGGATGGATTGGTTGTCCCCCCGTTCCAGGTTGTCGTCGACGTCTGGACCACCGCCGCCCCAGGAGCAACCACTCTTCTCCCAGGCGGCGCCCAGACTGCAAAGGTGCCGCATCGTCGGACGCCCGTGCGGACAGTTCCACGGCTTGTCCATCTCGCCCATGTGCGACAGCACCGATGCCATCTGCCGCCGCGACAGCGCTTTGCCAATCATGATGCTGCTGCGGCACGCCCGCATCGCAAACATTTTGCGCACCTTGGCCGGGCGGGGCACGGCGGTCAGCTGGCTGCCCGGCACGCCCCCGCCGTGGTCATGATCATGGCCATGGTCGTGGCTGTCGCCGTGGTCGCCGAGGAGGGCAATCAGCTCCTCCAGATCCGTCAAGTCAAAGGTCGTCTCGCGACTCAGCGGGAGGGTACGCAGGCGGCAGCGACGGCCGACGGGCTCCGAGCCGTCGAGGACGGCGTCGACGACGAACCCATTGGCGGCGAGAGCAGGCAGGTGCTCGAGGACGATTTCTTCCTCAACGGCGGTGAGCTCGAGGCGCTTGGGCTGCACGAGCCGCTGGGACTGGACGACGGTGCTGGCCTGCAGGCGCTCAAAGTTGTACTTTTCGTCGGACGCGTGCTGATCAATGATAAAGAGCTCGTCGTCGAGTTTGGGCGCGGCGCTCTGCCTTGCACCACTTTCGCCGTCAGCGCCGTCAGCGCCGTCAGCGTCATCGACGTCGTCATCCACGTCCTCTCCGCCCACGCGGGTTGCTTCGCGAACGGCAAGGATAAAGCCTAGGTTGAACTGCCCAATGACGCGCATTTTGGCAAAGTCGCTCTTGATAATGGTCAGCGCGAGCTTGGCCTCCGCGACGGCCTCGGTGTCGTCAAGGCCGCCGCTTGTGTCGGTACGGGCGTCGTCGCTCCCATCGCTGGCGGCACTCCGGGGTTTGTCGCCACCATTGCCCTCGTTTTGCGAGCATGACGTGTGCCATGACAGGGCCTGCTTTCTAACCATGGCTTCGTTGACTTTGAGGACGTGGACGAGCTGTAGAGTCTCGTGCCGCTTTTTGGAGCCGCCTGGTTTCAAAAAGACGCGACTGCGCTTCTCGTCATCGGTATATCCACGTGCTTCCGTAGTGGTAGAAGAACGGCCGTTTTGGAGGACAGGATCGGTTCCATCCCCATCGTCGTTCTCTTCGTCGGCTTCTTCGTCGTCTTCAACCTCGACTTCCTCCGGCGCCCTACCGGCATCGCGTACAATGTCTTCAACATCGTCCATTTGATGTTGCTCGTCCGGTGATTTTGGTTTCATTGTGGTGTTCTCCGTTGGCAATGGATTTGACAGGTGGTCATCGTCATCGTCGTTCTCTGCACCGAGCGGAGCTTTATCCCCTCCATCATCGCTGAGCATTTCTTGATTGAGATCTTCGTCAGCATCGT